AACGCATCGGACCGCATCGCGCTTTTTAAAACCAAGAATTAGACACATTATGACCCACATAGTACTTCTATGACCCACTTAGACTTGTTAAGTAAATAAGACCCATTATAACCATAACTACCAAGACGAGCCACTAAGGACCACTAAGACCCGTTATACCACAATTAGATCCATATAGGTCTAATTTGACACATTATAACCCACTTAGTCCCATTATGAGCCATTTAGACTTGTTAAGGAGAATTAAGACACATTATACCAACTTACACTGTATGTGACCCTTTACCCTCGTTATGGAGAATAGGAAGCATTTAGGACCATTAAGACTCCTTATTCCTCAATTAGATCCATTTAGGTCTAATTTGACACATTCGACCTCACTTAGTCCCATTATAGCCCACTTACACTCGTTAAGGAGAATAAGACCCATTATAGCAAACAAATACCAAAACTAGCCATTAGTGGTCCTTAATGGGTCATTTTAGAGTAAGGGGGTGTTTACTTGCGGCTTAATGAGCTTAATGGTGTAATTGGCTTATTCGAACAGCTCTTTTAGGGTGTTTACTTACGGCTTATTCGCATAGAACGCGACTTAATCGCACAGATGAATATGTTGTGTTGTCCCCATTCAGCCAAAAAAAAAAAGGCATCCCTACCCTTATACTTGAGACACACCTCATTCCCTTCCAGATTACAAACACGCCTCCATCTCCATCTCCAAACTTCGTCTCGATCCTCACCATCTCCAAACTTCATCTCCTGCAAAAACCCTAGCCGATTTCAACCTTCATCTCCATCGTCATCGTTATTGTGGTTTTTGATTTCGACCTGCAACTTCATCTCCTGCAAGTGAACAACCCCTTTCATGATTGATACCATCTCCAACGTCACCATCTCCTTCATCATCGCTGTTGCTTCCTCATCGTTGCTTCTCTCCAAAATTGATAACCTAGGTTTTTGCTTCCTCATCCATGATTAAATCCAACGCCACCCTCGATTCCATTAACACCACCACTATCAAAATTTGGGTAAACTTTATTAGGTTTATAAACAATAAGTTATTTGAATAAATTTTAAAAATCGTGTAATTGGCATCTGTTATTTATGTTGAAATATTATATAATATTTAAGTAGTTTTTTTGTCATTTAAAAATATCAAATAATATTTATTTCATATTGAGGGTAAAACGGTCATTTATGTAATTCAGACAGTTGATTCAGGATAAAAAGTAAACAATAATACATTTTCATCCGGACAGAAAAATTTATCCATACAGGACTTAATTAAAAATTTGGTAAACAGCCCCTAAGTGGTCATACCCAGTGTAAGTGGATCTAATTGAGGAATAAGGAGTCTTAATGGTCCTAAATGGTTCCTATTCTCCATAACGAGTGTAAAGGGTCACATCCAGTCTAAGTGGGGTATAATGTTCTAATTGGACCTAAATTGATCTAATCGATGTAAAACAAGTCTACGTGGTCCTTGATGGGTCATTTTGCAATAAGTTGGTATAATGTGTCTTAATTCTCCTTAATCAGTCTAAATGGCTCATAATGGGACTAAATGGATTATAATGTGTCAAATTACACCTATATGGAACTAATGGTGGTATAACGGGTCTTAGTGGTCCTTAGTGGCTCGTTTTGGTAGTTATGGTTATAATGGGTCTTATTTGCTTAACAAGTCTAAGTGGGTCATAGAAGTACTATGTGAGTCATAATGTGTCTAATTTGACATAAATGGATCAGAGTGAGTTAAAACGAGTCATCGTGGTCCTTACTAGCTCGTTTTGGTATTTGTGGCTATAATGATTTTTATCCTCTTTAATTGTTTTAAGTGGGGCATAAGGGACTAAGTCGGTCATAATGTGTCCAATAAGACCAAAATGGATCAAATTGACGTATAATGGGTCTTAGGGGTCCTCAAAGGGTCCTAATCTTTTTAACGGGTCTAAAGAGACATAATAAGTGCAAGTAGGTTATAACTCACTTAGTCCCACTATAGCCCACTTAGACACGTTAAGAAAAATAAGACCCATTATAGACACATTTTAACTCACTTAGTCCCATTATAGCCCACTTAGACTCGTTAAGGAGAATAAGACCCATTTAGCGCAAAAAAAAAACCAAAACTAGACATTAGTGGTCCTTAATGGGTCATTTTAGAGTAAACGGGTATAATGTGCCTTATTCTCTTTAATATGTCTAAATGGGTCATAGTAGGACTAAGTGGGTCATAATGTGTCAAATTTGACCTAAATGCATCTAATTGACGTATAACGGGTCTTAGTAGTCCTAAATGGCTCGTTTTGATATTTGTGGCGGTAATGGGTCATAATGCGTCTAACTTGACCTAAATGAATCTAATTGATGTATAACGAGTCTTAGTGGACTTTAATGGCTCGTTTTAGTATATTGGCTATAATGTGTATAATTAGACCAGAATGGATATAATTGAGGTATAATCGGTCTTAGTGGTCTTAAATGGGTCATGTTCTCCTTAACGAGTCTAGGGCGTCATAACGAATGCAAGTAGGTTGTAATGTATCTAAATAGATCTAGTTGTTATATAACGAGTCTAGGTGGTCCTTGATG